ATTACATTTGTCTTGTATTATGTAGCTGTTGAACTTGGAAAAAAAATGAACTACTACTCCCACAATCCTGCAGCCAAACTCTGAAAAAGAAAGACAGCCAGAGGATGGAGATTCAGGAAGCATTAATTTATGTCTCTGAAAGGTTTGCTGTTTCTTAAAAGCAGCATGACAGCTATGTGATGCAGAGGTTGCTATGGTGAGTTCACATCCCTTATTTAATGCTGTACCAAAGTAAACAGCCAAGCCATCACAGCCAGCTCTGTTAGGGGTGTTTTTCAGGAAAGCTGTCAACACTCCTGTCACTCATTCCCCCTCTCTCCTCTTGTTTTGATGTAGAACTTGGCTTCTGGGAATGTCTGAGCAAAAAAGAGGGTAAAAACAGAGTACAGATTGAGTATTCCTTATCTGAAATGCTTGCGACCAAAAGCGTTTTGAATTATATATTTTTTCATAGTTTGGAATATTTGTATTTGTATATATATGTCTAATGAGATATCTTAGAGATTAAATCCAAGGCTAAATTCAAAATTCATTTATGTTTTCTATACACCTTATATACAGGTAATTTTATACAGTGTTTGTACTCATTTTGTTCCTGAAACAAAGTTTGTGTACAGCCACACATGCAGATAATTTTAGAATAGTTTGGATTTTAGAATTCCAGACAAGGGATGGTCAACCTATGGTACTGCTGACCATGAAAAGCAGCACTTTTTCTTAATTGTGCTGTTATTTCATAGATATATTTTAGACATCCAGCAGCAACCATGGACTCAAGTGCGGGGACCATTAACCTAAAAGATTGTACTTTACTTGGCATTCTTGCACAGTTTCTGTTATATTCAGGGCAGCTTTGTTCACCTAACATCAGTGCCCTATTCAGATCAACAGATTAAGTTAGCAATATTTGTTCTGATTACAGACATTTATGAAATTGGGTTCACTGCCTCTGTGGCTCCCTTAATAAATGGCAGTGGCTTTAAAATAAATTGATGAGTTTGTTCATTTGTAAGAATAACATGTATCCCATCCACAGAGAACTGGAGAAAAGTGGGATGAAATGAAGAGTCCACTATCCTTTCACTGCTTCTCCTAAATGTTCTTTGGAGAGTTTTGTTATTGTTAATTATGCAGACTTTTAAAAACTTTTTAGACATATTTTCATTTATGGTGGGAATGCCCCCAGCTGAAGAGTTTTTGGAACAATATTTTTATGGAAATTGGTAACATTATAGGATTAAACATTGCCCCAAAGCTGAACTTAGAAATGAAAAAAAAAGAACTGATAGTTATTTTACTCACAATGGCGAGACTTATAATTGCAAGGAATTGTGCACGTTATTGCATAACCAGTGTGTGGTGTTACTTCACAGAGTTTACATCACCTTTGAACTAACCGCTTACCCTTTTAACCGTTAATGCTAAAGGCAAAGCTCATGCTTTGTTGTTTATATACCTCTGGCTGTTCTGTATTCAGGAGGCTGTCCACAGACTTTCTCATTGTGGGTTTCTTCCCTTACTGGGGGAGGGGGAATTATTTTCCTTCTTCATTTTGAACAAGTGTTTTGGACATGTCCTGAAGGAATGTGGAATACCTGAAGCTTAGCCTTGAGCTTTCTGAATAGGCAAGTCACAGACTTGTTATCAACATGGCCTCTTGGCAACTTTGAGACCTGGCTAGATATTTGTATTCCCTGAGCCATATTAGCGAGCACATCAATTAAGCATTAACTTTTTGTCTATGCCTTTCCATTAATTCAGAATGTCAGGTCATATTCAAGTATCAAAGAACATTGCACTGTGCCTATTTCTTCCATTAGATCTGCTTGGAATTCTTAATGTTCAGCATACCAGAAGTTACTTCTTTTGCTTCAGAGATAGTGCATTTGTTTATCTGGTGAAGTAAGAAAGGTTAAAGGTATAACTGGGCACTCACTAGATTTCATGATTAAGTAGGGCTGTAAACATGAATCACCCACATCCTAATCCAATATTGTAACTATCATGTTCCCCCTTGCAGAATTGGCAAAATGCTGTACATTTTTAGACAGTAGCAAATATCACTGACTAACTTAAGACAAGGTGCATAGCATGTAGCAATCCAGAGCCCACATTTCACAGAATTGGGAAAACAATTAAGTTCTAGAACTGGTATTGTTATGTTCACATATTTGAGCATGTGAGACAGAAATCCACAAACCTATTTCCTCTATCTTCCTGACTCTCTGTCTTGTTCACTTGTTTAATAAATGGATGGAAAGCAACAGCAAGAAAGGGGGACTGGTGCTAGAGGTTCACCCAATGAGATAATGGCAGTTGTGCAGTAATGCCTATCCTTAATTTGTTTTTGAGTAGATTTGTTCTCAATATGTAGTATCAAAATAAATATGTGGTCAATGAAGGCCAAGCAAGAAAAGGCAGAGTTTGGGAAAAAATATTGGTGGGAGAGCACGTTCAGGGAGTTGTAATTCAAAAATAAGGTCCTTTCTCTGTTTGGAAGGCAATATACTGGACAAAACCAGAAACAAGACTTACGTTTACATTCTCCCAATCACATATAAAGAATTCTCCCAATCACATATAAAGAATTCTTGAAGAAAGTCCAATGTTAGGCATGATTTTTGATTGGGGTGGTTTGCTTCTGATTATGCAAATATATTGGGATCTTGGAATTTTAGACCCAAAAGGAATCTTGGGGGTCATCTAGTGTAGCTTCCAATTCCACATTCAAGATCTGCAATGCAAGAAAATAGGTATGGCTGCCTGATCTTTGCCAGAATATTTCTAGCAAAAAAAGAAGCCACCTACTTCCAAGGCAGGCCACTCTACTCTTGAACCACTCCTACCAACAGAGTATTTAGTTAATATTTAGCAAAACATATTTTCCTCTTCAGATCTCAGTGGTCTAGTCCTACCTTCTGGTACAAAAGGAAACAAATCTCTTTGTGGAAAACTTTTCACATATGAGAAGACATGTCTCTTCTTAATGTTCTCAGCTCCTGGCATGCAGAGCAAACCAGTGAACTTAGCATGAGGAGGTCCATGCAGCTTTTTCGCTCTTCCTCTCCTTTTCTTCATTTTTTCATTCCCCTCCCCACCCCAATGATTTCAATAACAATGCCAGCTCTAGAATTTAATTGTTTTTCCATGTTCTGGATTCTAGGACATGAAAAAGATAAGAGGGGTTTTGATCCTTGTAGATCCACAGTCTTCCTCAAACTACACTCAATAGGTTCCTGAAATTTGTCCTTTCCATCCAGTCACCAGTGTTGGAGTTTTCCAGAGTCAGTGGAGCCTCTGCAATTAACTTACGACAACCAAGGCCATCCCTACCATTGGGCAGACTGAAGGAACCATCTCAGAGAATGTATACTAAATGGAGTTCCATAGCCTCTTGTCTGTCCTACTGGAGCCTCCTGACCATTCCTTGGTGTTGGAAGTCAGTGTTCCATGGACAAAACAGTGTGTTTTGATCTTCTAAAATGAACAGCAGCCCTCAGATGTTATGGAAGATATTATCTCAATACTAGAGTTGAAGTAGAATTCCATGCATTTCAGTGCTTGTATGTGGAATGAGAAAAAAAGATACAATCTTAGTTGACATCTCAGCTAGGAAATATTGTGACCTTGACCTTCTGGCCATGGGTCAACCTTTACACTTTGCCTGGAGGGAGCACGGTCCACATTGCTACATGACTTCTGAGATATTCTCAGGGTTGAGTTGTATTTCTTCACTAAATTGACTACAAAATATTTTCGTTCATTCCAGCTTGGTTTCTTTTCCCTCATAACAGTACTTGAAGATGAGAAAATATATTTGTGAAGGGAGTTGTGATATCTTGCTGTTTTCCTGCATTCCAAAGAAATTAGTATTGTTTTTTCATTATAGGGGGATAATGAACAACAGGGAAAGCTTATCTTCCAACGCTGTCATTTATCATATTTTCCATGTTAACGGAGATCCACTTTCATCTCAGTATGTCAGGATTTGCTTGGCTTTGCATTTTGCCCGTCAGTTTCTCTTTTAGCAAACATTTTTGTGTGGGTGACTTGTTTCACTAGTTCTTCAGTTGCTTGTTTGTACTGGCCCTACCATTAGATAGAATGAGGTGGCAGCCTCAGGAGTGACATGGTTGCACTACTGTGCAAAAATGCTACCCACACTGATCACATTATGACCCACTAAATTTCTCTTTTAATTAGTTCCAAAGTAGATTGCAGAGAACTGTCAAATAATCAGCTCTCTTGCACATTTTGGAATTGAGAACTCCTGTGTTCAAATAAGAGTAATTAATTCAGGATCATCATTCCAAAATGAGAGTAGCACAGGAAGCTCGAGACAAGGAGCCTTCTTTGGAGGCTTCTACGCACAGGCTGGATGGCTATCAGTCAGGACTACTTTAATTGTGCTTTTCCTGCATGGCAGGGGGTTGGACTGGATGGCCCGTGTGGTCTCTTCCAACTCTATGATTCTAGGGCTTGGGGAAAAATATCTTTTTGATAGACATTAGCTATTTCACTATATATTCTCTTTGGAAGAGAAATATTTTGTTGGAATTCCTAGTGAAGGATCAGGGCATATCTCTTTAATTAGAAAGTAGGGGGAATGGAGAAAAAATAACATAGTTATTGCCACTAAGCCCATCTAATACTTGGTCAATACACCACAAAAAATTAAATTTAGAGGGCAGGTATCAAACAATTATTATGCCTCTTCTATAAAACAAAATAGGCTCTCTGCTGTGTCCGAACAGCATGGAAGAAGTTTAAGTCAGACCTTCTACAGATGTCCAGTTTGTCCTATTGCCAGGTTCAAAAAGCAAATAGCTCCAGTAACAGTGATGTTTACTTTGAATGTGCATGAAAAAAAATTATCTTTTTTTCTTCCCCCTTTTTTTTCAAGAGCTGACGCAAGTCTGACCAAGGGAGGTGTTGGGTCATCTTCATTGATGATTGGTTTACCTGATACACTCCCATTTGCCTTTAAATCATTGTCTCTAGATGTATACGGTCTTTCTTGAGGAAACTCTGAAAGGTAGCTGCCATTTTCAAATTAATTTTACAGTTTAATGTGGCAAGGGGGACCAAAAACAAACGAACAACTACACAGAGGTAATTTCTTTTGCAACATGTGTTTTATTGTTAGGTGAAAGTTCTTACAATTATGAATTATACTTAATTATTAAATATCTATAGCAGTTAAGGGTTGGTGTGGTGGACTTCATTTCTAAATTTCTTCAGTAACTAGGTTTAATTTTTTGTGGGAATTCAATATTGTATTTTATTTTATATTTGAAGAGATAATATAGCTATGTTTCATATTTATTTGACTAATTACTGCATTAATAACTGACACATGAAAGTTATACATCGAATACATCATAGAACTTTTCATAATGCTAGCACTGCAATTCTCTAAATGAATTATTTCTGTGATTTTCTTTTAAAATCTTGTCTGCAAACTCATAGTTTGGGAACATTAATTTTTAACCAGAAACCCCTGAACAGAATAGGTATTCTTGAAGTTGTAGTCAAAAAGATTAGCTTTTGCGCTCTGGAAAAATTGTACAATATCAATTAAAGTTCCGTTAATCTAGAATTAAGGGATTTTAGTTCAATTCCTTTTAGTTACTTGTTTCATTACTATTCTATGTTTTGTTAATGGAACTCAAGGCAAAATGGGAGACTCGGTAGGCTCTCATTAAAACACCAGTTTGAACTAGGCCTGTTGAAATTCCATGAAATTGTTTTATTATGTGTCATCCAATTATACCCAGAGAGCATGGAATTTAATTCAGTGCAATTCCATGTTTATTTTAGGTTATCATGGCATACAAGTCATGTAACCTGAAAACAAGAAAGTTGCCAAGTTTATGGTCTTGAAGATTCTGCACATTCTTCAAATCATAAGGAACCAACTCTGGGTTTTTTTTAAAAGAATTGTATTATTAATATGGATGTGGAAGCAATTTATTATTTCAGAACATGTGCTTCCCATAAGATCTTAGAACTGAATCCTCCTCTGGTGCCTTCTGTTTTGGATTGCAGCTTCCACATGTCCATGGTTATTCTTTGGTTATGGAAGTTGTAGTTCAAGACGTCTGGAAGATACCTGGTTCGGCAAGCTATCCTAGAATATGTAGGTACAATATAGGTCTGCACAATCCTTCTCTTTCCTTAAAAACTAGAAAAATGGAAACTACTACAAGTGATGAATCTAAAAGGACATCAGGAATTCTCCCCCACAGACAAAACTGTATTTCACACTAGCATTGCTTTCTGATTATATCTATATGCCTGTGGCAGGTAATACGCAATTGTGCTGGTAACAGACATGCCTGTGATTTAGATCTACAGCATTGGTACCTAAATATCAATACATACATGTAAAATTCATTTAATGTGTTTCAGTTATTTTTAAATCAGTGTTTTAATTAGATTGATTATTTAATGTTTTTCCAAATTTGTATCACATATCAGTCTAAATCTCATTGGCAGTCCTGGCCTATAATAGGGCTTGAACCAGTAAGGCAATCCAATTTGCCCATTGTATGCCACTTGCTCTCCCCTTTTACACAATCCACATCTACTTCCAATCGGGCTCCATGGTGAAAGGGGAGAACAACAAGTGTACGCCACTGCCATGGCAACACAAGAGGGTTCCCTTGTTGCCTTTGAAACAATGGGGGGAAGCCAGGTGGCAGACCCTTCCCCCTGTGGGCTGTGGCCAGTGGTGTGTTGGGTGATGTGGAGCATGAGGCAGTGGGTTCTCCACACACCCCACTGGGACCCCATGGATTCGCCACGTGATAAGGTCCTAAATCCATGTGTTGACTTAACTGTAAATGATTGAAAGGGTCTCCTCCAGCTAAAAGTCACCAACAGGATGTCAGCTACATTTTTTGGTAATGCTGTTTTAGTACCATTGTAAGCGGCTTTGGTTCTGCGTTGGGGAAAATGTGGTATACAAATCAAATAAACAAATTCATCTTACAGAGGTAGCAATGCCAATGGCACTACCAGGCTCATTGGTGGGCCCACCCCATGGGAACAACAAATCTCATGATTTTGCTGTCACTCCTCCCGTGACTGCTCCAAGATGAACAGAATCTCTGGTAGTGCATAACCTCTCAATTAGGACCACACTAAACCACCTCAGAACAGCTGAGGTTTCCCCTTAAGGTCAGAGCAACTGAGAGAATAGTAGTAAAACCAGGAATGTCAAGGAGTTAGACTAGATGGCCCATGTGGTTTCTTGCAGTTCTATGATTCTATGACCATAGATCCACTGGTTAGCCCAGGCACTGCATGCACCATCAGTGGAAAGTAAATTAGAAATTTTAACTCAAGTTTGCTTTGGATCCATTTAGCTAACTAAATTGTAGAAAGCAAACTGAGTAAAAAGTATGTCCTAATTCATGTCAATAGGACTGACTTCTGAATCTTTAGAACCGTAGCCTTAAAGCAAAATTATATAACTACCAACTCAAAAAGAACTCCTGCGAATTGAAATAAGGCTTACTCTAAAGTACTGAGATTCAAGATTTCAGCCTTAGTCACGTTGATTCAACCTGATGTTCCTGTGTGCCTGCTATGAAATTTGAACTTTGCCACACGTACTGGCCTTGGTTCAGTTTATCAGGGTCATATATTATGTGAAGAACAGAGGGCAGTCAAGTGAACTTGATCCAAAGAAAAATATGGCAGTAGTAGCACATTGATTTTTTGTTGTGTGGTTTGTCGGTGGTGGGAGCAGTTTTAAGTATGACCAATGGAGAATGCAGAAATAGTTGGGCAAGGGTTCATATGTTTCTAACCCCTGATGTATAACAAATCTGGTGCCCGGTTGCTTTCCAGCCTTTATTCAAGGTCTCGATTTAGCACAAACAGTTCTAATTAAGACTTTGTTGTCCCAGTTTTCAGTTACTTTTAAAATATCCTAATTTTTCTTTCCTGTTCCTATTTTCTCCTTTGTCAGTAGCTTACTTCAGTTGCTGCATACTGAATTCATTGTAAAACAGTCAATGCTATGGGATCCTTAGATTTGTCATTTGGTGAGACACCAGCACTCTTTGGTCGAAAAATCTAAAGACCTTTTTTTGTTTTTTGTTAATGATGAATTGTGGATTTTTATATTGTGTCTTGTATTTTGTACCTTGTTCTTTCTATGTTGTACACCGCTGTGAGTCGCCCCTGGGCTGAGAACAGCATTATATAAGCAAAGTAAATAAATAAATAAATAAATAAATAAATAAATAATAAATACAACACCCATGATTCCATAGCATTGGGCTATGCATTATGAAGAAACTTTCTGTCTCATTTCAAATCAGTAGAGATGTTGACGTATTTTGGGGAGACCATCTTGAAAATTTGATGGCTGCAAAATTGTATAAATAGAGGACTTTACCTTGTGATGCTCCTAGATGGTGACCCCTCCCCTCCATTTCAGATCGGTTCTCAATTATTGTTGTTTTTAGACAGGATATGGTGGTCTGTCTCTTTAAACTGGGCTTTTCACTGTTTTGATATTTACTGAATATTGATAAATGTAATTGCTTTCCTTTAAAATTTGTGCTCAGTAGTATTCTTCATTTTCTTGAGTTCTGTTTTTTAATGTGGTTCTCATCATAATGAGTGGAATATAATAAATAACATGGATGTAGATGCCCTCCAAATTGGCTCCACTCTAGCTTTGATTTTTTTAACTAGACATAATAATAATAATAATAATAATAATAATAATAATACCTATAGACCGCCCTATCTCCCCAAAGGGGCTCAGGGTGGTTTCCCAAATATATGGTAAACATTCAATGCCAAAAAATACAACCTCATCCCGTTTAGGACAGAAAGCAAGGGGAATCATCTTAATGTAGTGTTTCATGCATTTCCATTTTAAAGAAAAACTGATAATTTATTCACTGCCATCACACGAGATGGACTCTTTCTGTTTCTATATAAATCCTCCACTTATTGAACAAATACTCTGCATACTGAACAAATCTTATGCTCATCATACAGGGAAGTGTGGTTTCCATCCATGTCATTTTCCTTTTTTATATATCTATAAAAAGGAAACATCATTATTGCTATATAGAAATATATCAAAATTGCACATTTTCTGAAAAAAAAATAAAGTTGCATGGAAGATGATAATGGCAACAAAAGGAGCATCAAGGAACATTTAAAGACCACCCACAGAACACCCACACTTTCATGTCCCTAAGATGATCTAAATTTGACAGTTGCCATCCCACCTTAAAATAAGTACCTGTAGCCAGTTCTGCATGAATAGTGAGCTCTGGAGTTGATTGCTCCTTGACTCCAAAAACTTCAGTTTCTACACACTTTACAAACTGAGTCTCATGAGCAACTGACAAACGTACTCTTGCATCATTGGATGGGTCCTGTGGGACAAATCTTTCAAATGTCTTTAAAGTGTGCAGAAACGGGAAAATCAACGTATGATGAGATCCATAGACAGAGAGCCAGCATTATGGCTTGAGCATGCCTCTGCAGACCAGATTTCAAATCCACACTTAGCCACTGAAACTCAGCAGGTGATTTTTGTCAAAACCTCAGAGAAAAGCAGATAACCCCCCTCCCCCACTAAATAAATATTTCCATGAAAACCCTGTCATAGGCTTGCCATATGTTGGAAATGACTTGAAGGCACATAACAAGCAAACAAGCACATACAAAAGTACTGGCCTCAGACAGGTTCCACAATTGCATCTGCATTGAAAAATGCATTGCAACCATACAAAGAGCCCAGTGTGATATAGGGGCTTGAGTGTTGGACTAGAACTGTCAAAGTTCTAGGTTTGATTTTTCCCCCAGTTATGGAAGCCTGCCAAGTCACGTTGGGCAGGTCACAGTCTCATAGTGTTAAAGGAAGACAATGGGAAAATATCCTTTCCGGGCACATCATGCTATTAAAAACCCAAATGAGAACATCATAATAAGCCCAAGTCAATTTGAAGACACATAAAAACAACCCACACAGCCACTAACATGCTGATGCACCTTTGCACAATACTGATTGTGCAGTGTAACGATTTCCCTTATTGGATCGTGGAGATTTTGTTTTTATCCTAATGCATTTTCTA